GTGCTCTATCGATCTGGATGTGGTGCCACGCCGAAATCGGGCTCCTTCATCCTGTTCGAGGCCAAGAAGTGCCAAATCATCTACAAACAATGACTAATCGGTGTCATATCGTGTCCGCAGTGGTCTCAATCGATTCGTCTGTTCTTTCCGGTTAATTTGATACCGGGGTCGACCGAGCGCGAAGCACGCGCTGGCGGCCTGGCCGCCCAGAAGCTACTCGAAGTGCATGATCCTCTACAACGCCACGCCTTTCCCCCGCCTCATCGATCTCGTTTGAGTGCCAATCGCTTCGTACACACACACTATCCGATTATATTGACACCTTGATATCCCGTGCGCAGCGCGCACACCCCCGTCCTGGCCGCCTAGAAGCCCCATCAAGTACACGGTATGACATCGTTTTGTCGTTGTTTGTAGATGATTTGGCACTTCTTGGCCTCGAACAGGATGAAGGAGCCCCATCAAAACGTTTTCATCACAAAGTGCAGAGTTGGCACCTTTTTTGTCCGTTACTAGCCCCACTATCTGAAGATGGCCGCCGCTAGGGACGCCCTCCGCCTTGTCGAAGCGCCGATGGCGTTCCGGACGCGTTTTTGTTCTTTTTCCCCCGCACGCTACGCGCCGCCACCCACCGCGCCGTCCAGGCTCGTCAACACCGGAGAGGGGTTATATTTCGACAGAAAAGGTAATTTCGAAGCATCACAAAATGTTTTCACCGAACAAATAATGATAAAACTTTGTCTGAACTGCTATTGTAACGAATATGCGAAGGAATCACTCAGTACTTTACTCAAAATGACGTATTATGCATGGCCAACAGAGTGGCCTAGCTCTTGTTTTCCATTGTGATTGATCACTCGCCTTTTTGGAATGGAGAATTGATCATAATACATTAATTGAATATTAAATGATGAATGAAAAAATGTCAGAAAGGTTATTTTGAGAGATGAGAAGTAGTGACAGCAGTATTGACTTTAGTGATTGTGATCCCTTATCCTGTGCTTATAGTTTTGTAGGTGTGTAGGTGTCATTTGTGAAATGGATCCTGTACCAGAAATTCCGAAACTCAAGAAAGAACTCAAGAAAAATCGCATAAAAGTGAGGAAAAGGCTTACCCAGCGGTAGAGGCATGTGTCGAAACCTGACTCTGCTGCCATGGAAGTGAGTTGTTCTGTGTCTTGTGTGAACCACCTAGAAAAGCTTTTGTTCATTCATGTATTTCTGCATTTGTAGGTGGAAGGTAGTGATTCTGCTGATGTGTCTGGGAGCCTTGCAGACTTGGATGAAGAAATGTTGCCGGATACAAGTGAGGTAAACGGTATTGCAAATAGTGTACTTGTTTCGTGTAGGGTTCATTAGTTTCTTTTACGTAAGTGTGGTTTTTGTTGCAAAGTGAGACTGTGCCCTCACCTAGCTCAAGTCTGGTTGATCACGACTATTGCAATCCATTTCCAAGTCCAATTGGCCTCAGCCGTTCAACCAGCAGAAATGGACGAGAACGTCGACCCTGGTAAGTAAACGACTTTCCAGGAACACATGTAGCAAGCCATTGTTACACTGTCAATGTATTGATTTCTTTGTTTTAGACCTCCTCCGTGCCCGGCTCGCTCGGCTCTATCGGTACACCGGTGATAGAGCCAGAGCCCGGGCGGGCTGGCGCGATGCCGCGCTCCGCCAGCAGCAGGAGCAGGCCCCAGCGGAGGAGAGGGTCGCCGAGGCCCTCGCCCCGGCTGTCTTAGCCGCCCCGCCGGCCTGTTATTCAGCCGCCTTCCCAGCCACACCACCCCATCCGGCCACACTGGCTCGTCCGGCCACACTGGCTCGTCCGGCCATACCAACACCTCCAGCCACACCTCTGCTCTTCTACATTCTCATATTAATTTCTGTTACCCATGAGACCCAGGAGGAAAACAAGATCTGCTCCAAACTCGACAGGGAGGGGGTGGGGTAGTGTTGGAAATGAAAGCTCAAGACCTAAAATTAATACAAGATTACATTAAGGCAATTCAAAGTTTGAAGAAAGAGTTGGGGAGGAGGGAGGAAAATGAAGAGGAATTAAGAGAAATGTATGAAGCGGCGAAGAGGCCGAGAGAGGCGGCAGGAAGGAAGTATGAAGAGGAGCTGGAGCGAAGAAGGGATGCAGAAAAGAGGGAAAAAAAGCAAGCGAATCAGGAAAGAGAAAGAAGCTAGTGCTTCAAATAAGACTGATTCAAAGTAATTGTTCAAAACATAGCGCCAATAATTTTTCCTCGTATTGTCCTGATAAGCCTTACTTATATACTCGAGTACAAGAGTCGGGAGGTCGGCTTTATGAAGAGCACTATTTGCCTGCTCTGAGGTGCTGCACTGAAGGGCTCGACAGCATGTTATTGTACAAAATTGAAGTCAACAGGGAGAAGAGCCGTCTGCAAAGTGAATGATAGGCTGAGAAAATTGTTGGCGAGACGAGCGGAAGAAGCATGGGAGAGAGACGGACGAGGTGGTGAAGAAGAAGATCAAAGAGTCCGATAAGAAGTTCAAAGGGTGCAGGATTGGGAAAACAAGTGTAAAGACTTGCAGAAGAAATGTGAATATTGGCGGGGAAAGTGCGAAGCTATAAAAGAAGAGGCACAGGAACAAGTAAGGGGAGCAGAGTTCAAAACAAAGCGTTAATAATTTGTCCTCCTATTGTTCTGATAAGCCTTACTTATATATACTCGAGTACAAGAGTCGGGAGGTCGGCTCTATGAAGAGCACTATTTGCCTGCTGGTCGTAAATGTGCTCTTTTTTCCATTCCAGCTATTTGTAGTGAAAAACCATCGCGTATTAAAATGATTAGGGGATTAAGGGATGCCTATTAACATAACCTTAAGATGAGTTTTCCTCTAAACTATAATTTACAACCTTGCGTGCAAAAGGTTCTCTACGACCCTAAACGCCACAGCTATGAAACTTTGCACGCGTTATTGGCTTGGCGATTAGCGAAGCCTATTACTCCGTCTGGTCGGAAAAAACTTTTTCTGTCTGTCTGTCCGCTCGATAACTCGAGAACGAACTGAGCGAGAGCGGCCTGGGATTTTCAGGGTCGTCTTGTGTTACAAAAAGACAGATATTTTTGAAGGGTTCCCTGGGGGGTAACTCGTGAAAGTGGAGCGCTACGGACGACAATTTCGGCCGTTTTCCTCTAGCTCCAACCGTTTAGGCGCTAGGGGGTATTTTTGACGGAAATAAGCGAAAAAATGTACAACCCTGCATGCTTAGTCCAAGTGACGGGCCGTTGACGGGCCGGAGGTCCGTACCTTTTATACATTTTTGCTCTACCCGACTCGGGTGTCAGCGCCGCAGGCCAAAGTGGACATATGCCAGGCATGTCGCAGAGTAATAGTGTTTCGTGAGATATCGCGAAGCCTGTTACGCGAGGTGGTCTGGCGTACATCTACCTTGCTTCTATTGGCCGAGCGATCAGCGAAGATGTCCGCACTCGAAAACGGATTGAGCGAGCGACCCGGGATTTTCAGGGGCGTTTTCTTCCTAGAAAAGACAGGTCGAGTTCGAAGAGGGGCATTGTACCTAAAAAATTTGATTTTTAAAAAATCAAAAACAACTGGTCCCAGAAATGACGTTTTTTAAAAAATATTTTATTATGGTTTCCTAAAGGGGTAACTCATCAAAGTTGAGTCATGTGGTCGAAAATTTTGTCCATTTTGCTTTAGCTCAAACCGTTGATGCGCTAGAGGGTGTTCTTGACAAATATGAGCGCAAAAATGTACAACCCTGTACGCTTAGTCGAGGTGATGGCCCGTTGACAGGCCGTTGACGGGCCGTTGTGTACATTTTTTCACTACCCGACTCGGGTGTCAGCGCCGCAAGCCAAGGGAGATGTACGCCAGGCTCGTCGCAGCGTAACAGTGTTTCGTGAGATATCGCGAAGCCTGTTACGCGAGACGTGGTCTGGCGTATATATATAGCTAGTAGTATTTTCTACGACTTGTAACAGGATTTTTTTAAAAAAATTCCTACACATGGATCTGTAAGTAAATCCTATAGGGGCAGAGAGAGATGATTCGCGATATCTCACGAAACACTGTGACGCTACGACGCGCCTGGCGCGCATATGGAGTTCCTGACAACTTATCCTGACCGAAGGATTTCAGTCTGCGCCAGAAGTGCAGCCCTACCCGAACCGAGCTACAGCCCATGTGGCCCGGGTAGGGTCGGTGCAATAGGGTATTCCGGACAAGCGAAGCGCCGGAAACGAGAGGTGATGATTGCGCTGGCGGAATCTCAGCCTCAGGACTTCTAGATTCGGTCGTCTACTGTCAACTGCACGGTGGCGTTAGGGTAGGTTGTGGTCTGGATTGCAATCTCGATTTTTAGAGTGAGAATCACCATCTCTAGCTAGGCCTGTGGCGCTGACACCTGATACAAGGTAGATGTACGCCAGACCACGTCTCGCGTAACAGGCTTCGCGATATTCCACGAAACACTGTTGCGCTGCGACGCGCCTGGCATACATCTACCTTGGCCTGCGGCGCTGACACCCGAGTCGGGTAGTGGGTAAACGTACACAGACGTACGTGCCTACGGCCCGTCAACGGCCTATAACCCCGAATAAGCATGCAGGGTTTTGAATTTTTTCGCTCATTTTCGTCAAAAATACCCTCTAGCGCCACAACGGTTTGATCGACAGCAAAACGGACGAAATTTTCGCCCGTAGGGCTCTACTTTCATGAGTTACCCTTTCTTTTTTTCAAAAAACCCTCATTTTTGGAACCCGTTGTTATTGATTCTTTAAAAATCTAATGTTTGAGCTAGAATGCTCATCTTCGAACTCGACCTGTCTTTTTATGGTACGAAACGACCCTGAAAATCCCAGGTCGCTAGCTCAACTCGTTTTCGAGATATCGTGCGGACAGACAGACAGACGTGCAGACAGACAAAGTTTTTTTCGACCAAACGGAGTAATAGGCTTCGCTAATCGCTCAGCCAACAAGTTAACAGGAGTGAATACGGTAATAGACCATTTCACCCGAGCGCGCTTCGATATCTCGAAGAACAAAAATACCGGAAGTCGCGCTCGGAGCGCTCCGCGCGGCGCGTTCGGCCGGCCGCACCACACCCCCCTCCACCGCAGGTGGTAGAGTCGTCGGTTTGTTTATTTCGGCTTAGCGTTGACTGTTTGAGGCAAACGAAGACACTTTTCCGACTAATTCGAGGCCGGGGAACACGATTCTGCCGTCAGATTTCTTATAGAATGTGAATTACACCTGGTAAGTGCTTAAAATATCGCATACAAGCTATTTCTAAGATCGGCTGTCGCCCATCGGCAGCGGTTCTTGTTCGCTTTGTAATTAATTATAACAAAATGTAACGAATGACAGGTGTCCGACTGGTTTAACTGCAACTGCTCTCCCTTTTCTCAACCTCAAAGTGCATTTCGCTTTCATGGACAGTTTTCGAAAACTAATAAGTCGCCGTGAATGTGATGGGTACCCAACCTATTGTGAGTACACTACTATGGTATTTTACTATTGAAATATGATTGTTACCATTGTTTTGGGCTGTTGATATTATTTTTGATTTATATGTGTTATATCTGTTTAGAAGTTTACTGATTTCGGGCTTCCTCCCATTGGGGGCTGCCCCCTCAATGCATGTCTTCAGGTACGCAATGATTTAAGGAGTTAACATTCCCGTATGTGACATGTAACCAAACATCAAAGTAAAGCTTTTTATTTTACAGGTGTTGTTCCACTCACCTAGTTTTATAAGCTATATGGTGAGTTCAGACCACAAGTTGAAGTGCATTGCCTCTGACAACTGTGTTTTATGCCTTGTTCTCAAAATATGGGAACATGTGAACCGAAACATGTATTGTGGCAATCTTAATTCTGGTGAGTTTATTGCTGAATTTTGACCTCTACATGTTAATACATATAATCAAATGTCAATTTTCTTTGGTTGCAGAATTATGTAAACTTTTAGGGTGCACTGCTGAATCAGATGTATTTTATGTTATGAGCAGCATTGTCTCTGAAATGCATTATGCATTTCAAAGAATTGAACCTAGGTAATATTTTTCCAAGTTATTATTTTGCTTACGTTAACACTTTTTGTTTTGTAAATGTCCATTTCCTGTGTGCAGCTATGAACTCTCTCCTATTTTTGACTCTTTTGGTGGCATTATTGAAATCCAAAGTGAGTGTGCTTATACTGTTTGTAGAATTTATTACTATACATTTCCTTGATTTGTTTGTTTATGTTCCTATTGTTTCTTCCTCAGATTTGTGCCAATGCCATGGCATTCAGGAACCCACAGGGGAATTGTCCATTGGTGCGAAGGTTTTTATTAATGCAAATGAAAATCTGCAGCAGGCCATTGACGAACTGTACAGCTCGAAGAATGTGTTGTGTGAAACCTGTGGTTCTGAAAAGCAAATTCTAAAAAAGGTCTTACAGTTGCCTGATATTTTTCTGATTTCTCCAATTAGGTAAAGGTTTACATTTAACTTGAAAGTCATGCAAATATTTCTTTTTGTTTTAACATATAAATTTGCATTGGGTTTCAGACCGGAGCTTGAACACTATGTTGTGCCTTCAACTGTTAACTTAGGTCCTGGCAAGAAGTATGAAGTTATTGGGTCTATTATCAATGGCACAACAGCCAATGTAAAAACCTATTCTGGCACTTTTGTTCAACTAAAAGACAAAAGGGTAAGTATTTTCTCAATAGATGATTATCAGCAGTTCTGTTTCATTTACTGACAAGAGTTAATTAATTTATTTTTTAACAGAAAAGGGGTGTATCATGGCACAAGGTCCAAAATGTTGATGCTCAAAACAGTTGTCAAGTTTTAGTGTATCAGAGTGTGTGTGAAGGGCCACTAAAATTTAGGGAAGTGAGAACTCCAAAGAAAATGAAGTGTTCTACTCCTATAGGGTCAGCTCGTTCCACCACTACTGCATGGAATGTTACTCCAATTGTAAGGATCAAGAAAATTGTGAACAAATTTATATAACAATTTAAAAAATTGCATTGTAAAAATTCTGCTTCCTAGGTTCAGCCTGCTCCACCTGTTACATCAGGACGGAGGTTACAACCGAAGCGGCTGGATTATGGTGTACCACTGGCTCCACATCAATCCTCAAGTGCTTCAGAGAAGGTAACATCTCTATGCTTAGAAGAAGTATTAATATGTATAGTCCTGCCATATAGTCTTATATTTAAAAGAGATTTACACAGTACAATAACCTGAATAGGTTCCAAAGTGTCAATCTTACATTTACCAAGTAGCATTGATGATAATTTCTTTAAGTATCCATAATTAAAACAAAACATAGATTTACAGGAAATACCTACATGTCAGTAGGTATCTAAAACTAAAACTACATAACAGTATTAAAATTATATCTTTCAAACAATTTGAAGTTGTATTAAAACAATTACATCTTAAAAGTTATTGCTTGATGTGATGTGGAAATAATTTACGAGGTGTCCTCATGAAAAAATATTCGGGTACAATCAGCTCCCTGTGTAAAGCTATTTCTTTGGCTTTTAACTCATCCCACTTGTCCTTATCAAAGGGTACTTCTAAAATTAAAGTGTCTTTCGGGGTCCATATCACAAAATCACACACTTGGAGTCCAGTAATTCCTAAATAATGTTGTACTTGTGTGTAATATGGATTTTTTTTTTAAGAACTATCTTGCCATTTATGTTATCCCATTTGAGGCAAAAGTTTGAAAGCTGCTCTTTAGATAAGACTTCACTGAAGTCTTGTGGTTTGGCATGTCTTAACATGTATGGGCACTTAGCTTCTACAATTCTTGATGGGTGGATTTTAGATCGACAAATTCCATCAACACTGGCTGCACCCTCAGGGAAGTCTGTGCTTTTCAGTAAGCCAATGTTGGTCTTCACTTTTATTGTTGGGTCAA